TGCCATATAGCGTTGAGGGCGCCTCCTAGTGTCTTCTGCAGGCGTGCGATTTTGGCCTGCATAGCTTCGTCTTTGTCCATGTCCGCGGCTGCCAGGGGGCATATGTACATGGGGCCGCCGCCCGTGGGGTCGCGGAGGTCTTCGTAGTACCGCTGGTCGCCGCTGGTGTCTTTCCAGGGTTCCTTGCGCGGCTCCGGACGCGTCGGGTTCCACCTTGGCGACTTGGCGACGCGTCCTTTCCCGCCCCCGGCGTCCTCAGAACTGGGCGGCCGCGTCCTTGGCGCATGATGGGGGTTCTTTTTCGGTCGGCGGCCGCGCGACAAAGGTCAGCCAGCAACAGCGATGTCCGGGGCAACGGAACACGGCAAATTACACGCGATGCGTGGAGTGCACATGCACTGAGAAAAATGCTCCACATTAAGGCAAACGCACATAGGCGCCGGCCACACCGAGGTGAAGCAGACCGCAGCGCGGGCGCAACGGAGAAAGTCGCCCTGTCGGCGCCGAGCAACGCTGAAGGCTGAACCACTCAGCGCGAAGTCTGAACCGCCGCCGCACGCAGGGTCGGCGGAGACAGGGGCAGAGAACGGCAGGGACCTACAGATCACTCACTCCACGATCCACACCGCTGCCCGGGGGGGGCCGGTGTCAGTCATCGTCTCCGAAACCAGTGACAGGTCAGGTAAGCAACGATGAGAGAGGACGCGCAGGCCCAAGTACCGGCGCACTGCCGCCTTGCGGATATCGGCCACGAATGTCGCCGAGGTACGCTGCAGCCGAGACCAGCTCATTGGGCGCTGGAGCGCTGCGCTCCAGCGCCCAATGAGCTGAATCTGACCACAGAGTGGGCCGAGACACGGCAGGTGCCAGAGCACTCACTCCACGGACCACGCCGCTGCCCGGGGGGGGGCCGGCGCATCGTTCATCGTATCCGATGCCAGTGACTGGGCGGGGCTGCAACGATGAGAGAGGACACGCTGGCCCAGGGCCGGCACACTGCAACCTCGCAGGTAGGGGTCGCGATTGTCGCCGAGATTCGCAGCTGCCGCGACCAGCTCACGGAGCGCTGGAGCAGCCAGGGCTGAATCTGACCACGATGTGGAGGGTCTGGAACGCAGCCAGGGCTGAGTCTGACCACGCAGTGGAGGGGGGGGCGCAGCCAACAACCGCAATGAACACATGCGTCGGTTGGAGGGGGGTGCAGCCAACAGCCGCAATGTAACAAGTCATCAGCTCGCACAGATCCGAGGAGGAGGGAGGGGTTGGGCGGGCTGCACGCAGACCGCCTCCAAGCAGAGTGGTGCGCAGGGGGGGCCATTCCAGTCAACCGCCCCCGGCCAACCAAAGCGGCTGTCGAGAGAGGCAGCAAAGGGCGAGGAGCGCGGGGGCGCGTCTGCGTCCGCCCCCGGCCCCAACAGAGCAGTCGGCCGCCGTAGAGGGCAGCTGTTGGCCTTGGGCCGGCGGGGCCCGCAGGCTCACCCCCACCTGCCGAAGGGGGCGAGGTGGCCAGGCAAGGTCCACTTATCCAGCGCGGGCTGTCTAGCTACGCAGCGCCTTGGGTGAGATGTTGGGGCGCCCCCGCCCCAGCGGGAGTTGCCCGGGGCATTGCGGCCACGGCCGGGCGCTGCAGGATGAAACCGCTCCCGGCAGGGAGAGAGCGGCGAGCGCCTGAGGGGGCGTCGCTCCGACGGGCGGGCCAGCCCCTGTGAGCCCTTGGCACACTAGTCAAGTCAGTCCCACCATCGCGCGCACTTATCGGTGCATCGGTCGTCTCCCCTGGGGGAGTAACGTTTGCCTTTCGCTTTCCAATCAGCGTCTGTCCACGGTGCGCCCTGGTGGCTCCAGGAAACCCATTCCTGCCATCCCTGCCACGGTTCGGCGGAGCCAGGTGCACCCCCCCATTGCTCCTGCGAGGCCGCCTCTGTCGCTCTCTTGCCCTCTTTAGTCCATGGGGCGGGGCCGCTGCTGCTGTCGGGCCCGCGCTGCGCGTGGGGTCTGGGCTCGCGTTGCAGGAGTTTGGCATGCCTGTCCTCGACCGTTGGCCCATCGACGTTGAGCCCTAGGTCTCTGTCCATCTTGTATGCGTCATACCCTGCGCTGCCCCATGCCTGAAGGAAGTCGCTGCACAGCTGCGCGGTGTTCCGCTTGGGGCCATGCTTTTCAGTCCCGATGGTTCCCTGCCTCACGGCAGCCCTCTTCACCCATGCGACCCAGACTCCATTAAGCGCTCCTCCAAGCGTCCTTTGCAGGCGTGGCATCTTCTCCTGTATCGGTTCGTCCTTCGTAACATCAGCTTCCTCGACCGGGCACATATACATGGGGATGCCCCCCATGGGGTCGCTCGGATCGCCTCGGGGTGGCTGCGTTTCTCATGCGTCCCTCCAGGGTGCCTGGAGTCTGTGTGGCCGGGCTGGGTCGCCTCTTGGGACTTGGCGGCGCGGCGATCCCCATCCCTGGTGTCCTCCCGCACGGGTCGCTGGCGGCCCCTGTGGCCGCTCGCGCGCCTGAGGGACCTGTCGTCCCTGGCGTCGTTGATGGTCCCAGCTGCGTTGTCTCCTCCTCGCGGGTCATCCGGCATGCTCCTGACTGCGCGGGAAGAATTCCTGGAAACGGCCTGTTCGTAAGGGGGCCAGGCCTCTGAGGTGACCCTGTCGGGTGGCGCCGACCAGATCCTGAGGGGGTCGGGGAGTTCTTCTTCCCGGTCGCCAGCCGTCGGGGTTGGACTGAGCTCCGAGCTTGATTCCTTGAGGGTGTCGGACTCTCTTTTCTTGTCTGCCTCCCCACCCCAGTCGATCCCATCTAGTTCGCCATCGTTCTTGCACGTTTGCCCAGTCGGAATCTTCCCCTCTGCCTGTGGGGCGTGCCCCCCTTCTGCCCCGGCGGTATTGGGGTGCGCTCTGGTAACACGGGAGGGGGGGGTCCTCCTGCACGCCTCCGCGGTTGTCCACTGAGGGGGGGGCCTCGGCTCCGACAGCCCTGTTGAGCCAGGTGGCTGCTGGTGACTCAGCCCCAGCTGGGACGCCTGTGGCTGTCTCGCGCGGATCGCGGGTGGAAAGGAGGGTGATGGTCCCCCAGGCCAGTGCACTAGAGTTAATCTCCGTAAGGAACGCCAGCAGAGTGCCGATCCGCTGTCGGAAGGGGCACTGACCTCTCTGCTCAGCAAGGCCAGCAGCGTAGCGGTCCCATTCCCCCCGGTATTTCTCGCTCCTACCCGTTAAGTGGGATACCACCCTGGCCGCCGCAGCCCGCTGCCCGTCCCATGGGACCTGGTGGGGATTCGCGAAGCGTCAACAATTTCCGAACAGTTGTCTTCCAAAGGGGCACGTCCCACCATGACAAAGAACCCTTGTAGGGGCTCAAGCAGAGGGTACTTAGACAAAAAGCCTCTTGCAATATCGTTGATGAGTCTTGGGTTTATACTGGTCCTCCTCCTCATCCTCATCCTCATCCTCCTCCTCCTCCCTCTCCTGCTCCTCCTCATCCACCTCCTCCTCGTCCTCCTCTCTCCTCTCTCCTCTCTCCCCTCTCTGTCTCTCCCCTTCCCCTTTCTTCAGATATGCATTATGAATGTTAATTTCCTCTCTCCCCTGACTTCGTTCCGAAGATGGCCCGTTCTCTCCGCGCACGGTCTTCTACACACGCAAAATTGCAAACGTTTGTGTTTTACATGGTGCTCCCGCTGCAGCGTGGGGTTCATTTTCGAATTGCCGCTTTGGAGTTCGTCGTTCAGGATGGCGCTGTCGCCCCCGCGCGGGGTCCCCCTGCTTCCACATCCTCCTCCTCATGTTTTTCTCATGTTCCTCATCCTGTTCCTCCTGCACACCCGCCACCTCCTCCTTTGCACGCAGTTTCTCTTTTCCGATTGCGCATAACACGATGGGGTCTTTGTTTGGAGTTTCAGGTCATCTATGGCACGCGTCCGCGGACAGAGAAACAAACAAAGAAACGGGCAAGGAGTGGAGGAAGGGATAGAATGTCAGATGTGGGGCGAGCGCACCTGGCTTGCCTTTCTCTTATATCCTCTCCCACTCCCCCTCCTCCTCCTCCAACTCCTCCTCCGTCCCGCATCCATATGAGTAATGCCTCCCTGTCGCACCGCACCACCCGAAGTGTCGTTAGGGAGGGCCGAGCGTTTCGACTGAGATCTCCTCACCGTCGACGGGAGTTTCCCAACAACTGCACGAAAGGATGGCGGTACCTTTTCAGAATGGGGCTCTCACCCTGGCGCCGCGCACTCTCGTCGTCTGAAACAAACCCGCAGCCACACGGACAGAGGGCGGTACCTGTTAATGGGACCCTCGCCCTGGCGCCGCGCACGGTCGTCGTGAACATCTAACAATCCCACGGATGGAGGGCGGTTCCTTTCCAAAATGGGGCTCTCGTCTGTAATGATTGGGAACTTCCACGGGTGGAGGGCGGCTCCTTTTCAGATCGGGGTTCTCGCCTGAACCATCGTTTGAGTTGATGGCCAGAGGTCACAGAATGCGCAACAGCCACGCGAATGCAGGGCGGTTCATTCTCCGAGCGGGGCAGTTGCCGAGCACCTCCTTGGAACTTGGGCAAGCCCCATCTTGTCGCATCCTCTACAGCTGGAAGGACGGAGGGCGGTCTCTGTCAGAACGGAACTCCCGCCTGACTTGCGGGCCCGTGGGGCGCTCCTCTTTCAAGGTGGGCGCTTCGGGCAGTGACGAGCATTGTTTAGTTCTGGGGACTGCGGAGGGGGCGCTGGGACGGGAGGGCGCATTGCAGCATCGCTGATGCGTCTTGGACTCACTCTGGCGCTCTCCGAGGATGCGATTCTTCGGCCTTACGCGGGGCGACGCTCACTGGAGGCCGCCCCCCCTCCCCCACAGCAAGTCTGGTTGCGAGTGCAGCAGGGCGTTGCGTCCCCATCTCGTGTGCTCGCGCAAGACAGCCGATGCCCCTCGCTGCGCTCGCAGTCGCGGCGGGGCGGCGGGCGAGGGAGGGCATCCGGCGGGCGGGGGCCGCGGGGCGCGCGCCACGAGCTGGTCGAGCAACTTCGCGTTTGCCTGCGGAGGGGAGGGAGGAGGCTGAGAGGCAACGGTAGGGGGTGACAGGCAGAAGGGAGGGGAAGCATCGACCTGGAACTGGCGGTGCATCGCCGATAGATCAGCGACAGGCCCCCGATAGCCAATCCGCACTTTCCTAAGCTGGGTGGGGCTATCATACCCATACAAGCAATAAGTGAGCGATTGGGGGTCGATGCGTCCCCCAATACATATCCCCCCATATCGTTGCAGCTGAAGGAGAGGGCGAGAAGGGTCGAGCGTGCACTCGTGGGTCCGACTGACGGACAATTTGGGGGGGATGGATGATCGACAATTCATTCATGCCCCCGACCCCACGAGGGATCAGTGCGGCGGCGCGACATCGGAGGTGATTGGGGTGAGAACGCAGCGGAACGGAGAGCCCTCCCCCCGGGAAATCGGTTTCGGTTTCGTGTGCTCGTCGTGCGTGCGAGCGATGCGAAGCTGCGTGGGCACGCGACAGGAATGATGCCGCCGTGGCTAGGGGCCGTGGAGCCGTTTGACCGGCCCGCCCAGAAGGCGCGCGGTGCCCAGGGGTGCCCCGCCTGTGGTGCGGGGGTGCCCCCTCGGTGATGCGGGGGTGACCCGCCAGTGGTGCGAGGGTGCCCTGTCGATGGTGCGAGGGTGCCCCGTCGGTGGCGGCTGGTGCCCCGTCGGTGGCGCGGTAGTGAGATCAAGAGTGAGGTCTGTTACGAGATCGATCGTGGGATCTGTTGTGTGAGATCGATAGTGCGATTTGTCACGAGATCGACGGTGAGCACAAGGTGCCCCGCCGGTCGTGCGCGGGGTGCCCAGTCGATATCGCGAATGCGAGATCGATCGTGCAATGGATGGTGATATCGGTAGCGAGATATGTTGTGAGATCGATGGTGCGATCTGTTGCGAGATCGATGGTGCGATTTGTTATGAAATCGATGGTGGTATCGCTCGTGAGATCTACACTGGGACCGTCGGTGAAATCGATGCTGAAATCGATCGTGAGATCGTTTGCGAGAACGATTGTGAGGCCGAGAGTAAGATCGATGGCAAATCGATGATGATTTCGCAAATGGAAATAATCGTGTGAAGTGTTGTGATATCGGTAGTTAGTCTGAATACGGAATCGATACGAATCTCTATTGTCAGATCGATAGTGCGCTCGATTGGGAGATCGATAGTGTTACCTGTATTGAGATCGATCGTGAGATCACTTGTGGGATCAACTGTGAAATCGGTAGCACAATCGGATGTTAGGACGATTGTGAGACCGACAGTTGGAACAGTGATTGCATCGATTGTAAGATGTGTTGTAAGATCGATAGTGGTAGATGTCATGGCATCGATGGTGAGATGTGATGTGAGATCCATGGTGAGATCGCTCGGGACCGGCTGTGGTATCGATACGAAGATCGGTTGTAAGATCGATTGTGAGATCGATTGCGATACCGATAATCAGGTCAATGGCGAGACCGGCTGTGATATCGCTTGTGGAACCAATCGTGAGAAGTGATGTGGTATCGGTAGTGAGTCCGAAGGTCAGATCGATAGCATGACCAACTGTCAGCTCGATTGTGTAATATATGGGGGATCGATATATACAGAGATCTGATGCGAGATCGATCGTGGGATCGCCTGCGATATCGATAAAAGAGTTATATTGTCAAATCAATAATTGGATCGATCGTAATATCAGCGGGATGGATGGTCGGAGGTGAGGGGGTGAGATCGAAGTGGAACGGAAAGCCTCCCTACCGGGAAATCGATTTCGGTTTCGTGTTCGTGCGTGCCGTGCGTGCGGGCGAGGCGAAGCTGCGTGGGCGGGCGAGAGGAAAGTCTCCTGTGGCTGAGGTGCGGCCGGACCAAATGATTCTCCACCGGGCGGCCGGTGGCGCGCGGTGTCCCGCCGGTGTCCCGGTGGTGTCTTCTGTGGCTGAGGCGCGGCCGGACCAAATGATTCTCCACCGGGCGGCCGGTGGCGCGCGGTGTCCCGCCGGTGTCCCGCCGGTGTCCCGATGATGATGATGTTGTTGATGATGATGATGATGATGGTGTTGATGATGATGATGGTGATGATGATATCGATTGTGCGACCGAATGTGAGATCGATAATGAGACATGATGGTGCTGATGATGATGATGGTGATGATGATATCGATAGAGAAACCGAATGTGATATCGATAGTGAGACCGAATGTGAGATCGATTGTGATATCGATGGTGAATTCGATAGTGAGACCGAAAGTGAGATTGATTGTGACATCGATTGTGAGATCGATAGTGAGATCGATCGTGGGATCGATTGTGATATCGATAATGAGATCGATAATGAGACCGAAAGTGAGATCGATTGTGAGATCGATAGTGAGACCGAATGTGAGACCGAATGTGAGATCGATAGTGATATCGATAGTGAGATCGATAGTGAGACCGAATGTGAGATCGATCGTGAAAACGATAGCGAGACCGATTGTGAGATCGATTGTGACATCGATGATGAGATCGGTAGTGAGACCGGATGTGGGATCGATTGTGAGATCGATAGTGAGATCGGTAGTGAGATCGATTGTGAGACCGAATGTGAGATCGAGAGTGATATCGATAGTGAGATCGATAGTGAGACCGAATGTGAGATCGATAAGGAAATCGGTAGTGAGACCGAATAGGAGATCGATAGTAAAATCGAAAGTGAGACCGGATGTGAGATCGAGATCGATAGTGATAGCGAGAGTGAGATCGATCGAGCGCGGCGTTGGTCCCTCCCCCCCCCCCCTCACCTCCTTGTCACCCGAAAGGGTGGTCGTATAGGTAAGATAGATAGTGGGATCGATAAGGAGATCTGTTGCGATTTTAAAAGTTTCGTCGATGTGAAAACGACTGGGTGAGACGTTGCCCCCCCTTCCGAAGGGTAGTCGTGCAGGTGGAATGCTACCGCCTGGGGCTATTTTTTTCTACCCGCGCCCTGCTCCCCGTGGCGCCCAGAGCAGGGGTGGCAGCGGCAGGGGTATATGTCGAATGCCGATCGCCGAGGGGAGGCGGAGGCCCTTGGTTTGTTTCCCCCGTGATACCTGCCAACCGCAGGCGCAGCCCGTGGAACCTGTCTCGGGCGCTCGATTTGCCCCCCCCGGGAAAACGTGGCATTCTTCCCCGCCAGGTTCAGTTATGCCAGCAAATGCGGAAAGGCACGGCTGTCCTCGCTCGCCCAAGGTTGGCGAGGCCGAGGCGCAAGAGCGACCGAAGTAACCGATGCACCTTCCTGGGGGGGCCCTGCCTTCACGACGGCGCTGGCGGGGCTCCGAGGGCCCTGCCAAGGCCGCGCAAACCCCGCAGCTCCTGGGGCCCCATGCAAACAGATCCTGCAATTGTCCAGTCGTAGCCAGCGTGGTTTAGACGCTCCAGGTAACTGGCGCAAGTGCGCACTATACGCGCATTATGCTAGCGGCTAGCGTAGTTCATAGACCGCCCTTCGTTCGCGCAGGGTAGTTTGACGCTGGAGAGATGCCACCAGGCATGCCCTGCGCTCGGTGCTGGGAGCCGCCCAACCCGCCCCGGGAATGAGTTGCTCCTGGACCGCGACGACTGCGTGAGTTCACCCGCCGAGGAGCTCTCCCATCTGCTTCCCCTCCGGCAACTGATGCCAGCGGTCGTGATCTGGTCTGCTCTCTGCCCGCGCCGGCATGTTGGGCGCTCCGGGCCACAGTCTATCCACTGCCCAATGCTGCTTCGCATCCGCGGGCGCCCTGCGCAGGAGGCTGGGTCGGGGCTCAGGCAACGGCCGCCCGGAAGGCAGGAGCGCGTGCGCCATGTCACGCTCGGGGCAGATGCCTGGGGACCGGGCGTCGGCTACCCGAACTCCCGCGGCCAGGAGTCCTGACCGCCGCCGCGACTCAGACCCTCTGGCCCGCGCCCCCCCCTGCCCCGCGCCGCCAGACTGGAAGTGCCGCCTCCGGCCACTCTGGATATGATCACTCGACGCCACCGCCCGCCGCCACCTGGGCCGACTAGGCCGCCGAACCCGCGCGCGCGGCTGCCTCCCGCCCGTCGGCGGCGCGGGGGCGGGCGTCGGAAGCCCGCGCGCCCGCGGCCTGTCTCCCGCGCCATTCGCGGCGGCCCTCGGCCCAGGCCGCGCCGCGCTCCGCCCCGCCCACTTGGAAATGCCTGCCCTCGCCGCGCTGGAACTAACTCGGCGCGGCGGGCCCGATCCGCGCCTCGGCCGCCCAAGGCCGCGTCTCGCCCACCACTCGCGGCCGCGCTCCGCCCGTCGACGGCGCGAGCAGGGCGCGAACCGCATGCCGGGGGCCAGGGCGACGAGCACCCGCGCCCGCGGCCTGGCGCACGCCCCCCTTACCGCGGCCCTTGGCCGAGAAGGGCCCGCGCGCCGCCCCGCCAGACTGGCAATGGCCGCAGCCGCTCTGCGACTCCGTCGGGGCAGCTTCGCCCCGATAGGACCAGCTGTTGCGCCTGCGCTCGAATCCTGGACATGGGCGTTGCTTTGGTCGAACCCAGCAAGATCGCGCACAGCAGAGACCTACTTAGCCTGGGCCTTGCCGCGCTTCTCCGATCTCCACCCTTCCATGCATGCTGCCAACTTGCCGATGCTGCCTCTGGCTGCGGCCATGTCGGCCTCCTCGTCGACCTCGACGCCTGCGCTGCCAGGGAACTCACAGATTTCGCGAGGCTGGTTCCTTCTGCGTTCGAAATAGGCACGTCGAGTCCTCGCTGGCCCTCCCCTGCCCCCCCTGCCCCATCGCGCGGCGGCCCCGCAGGTCCAGGCGGCGCCGCCGCGGCCCGGCTAGCCGCAGCTTCGGTCTTGACTTGATTGGAGGCCCCCCCCGCGCCCCTCGAGCGCCGCGACGCAAACCCCGCCGGGGGCCGCCCCAGCTTGGCGCAGAGGACGCCATCGCCACCCAGACCTATGAGGATACTGCGTACGTCGTCGGCCGCGATGCCAAGGGGCGCGACGACCTCCGACGATTCTGCGCCGCGCCCGAGGACGGGGGCCCCAA